ATTCTTAGGTTGGCTTGAGAATCTATCTCCATTTCTAGTTATAAAATCTTAAAACTCCATAAATGGTTCAAATCAAGTAGATCTATAAATACTTGAAAATCTTGAAAATGATTGGTCTAGATAATGTGTTGCGTGATAAACTATTTTTAGGACTCAAAATTTTTTTTATTTTAATATTCATATACCTTGATGTCGAGATGATTAATTAAAGGGTTTTCCAACATCAAAACTACCTTTTATGATGAATTTTTGATGTTCACGTTATTTCTACATTTTAAGGTTGCAACCTTATATAAACTTTATCCTAAGAAATTTAGTATAAATTAACTAATGGCATGTATGTATGTTTTGGCTGAGAAGATATATAGATCTCTAAATATTAAATAAACTAGAGAATTGATATTTTAGCCTATAAATTTACTTTTTAAGTGCACCAATATTTTTTATATAAATAAATTTTAGTTCATTCATTACCATTTCTTTATAGGAAAAATTACTTAAGGACCTGAAAATAAATAAATAAAAGGAAGAAAAAAGGATACTACATGATGATCCATATTTTCAAGTATTTTATGCCAAGGTCTACCTTGCATCCTTTTTTATTTTCAATTCAATTATTCCCCCTGGTCTGAAATTTGCAATATTTGATCACTTTTTTATTTTGATTTTTTCGTCCGTAAAAGCTCGGTCCAATGCTCCTAATATCGTACAACCCTATAGTGGGCAGTTCGATATCAGGATGAACAAACTTCCTAGCCTACGATAGTTTTAAGCAAGCCTAGCAGTCCAATGTTCCAAGCATTAGACAATCCTATAACAAGTCGTTTGATATTTTGAACATTGGACCATGTGGTCTATAAAAGTTTTAAGCAGGTCTAGTGGTTCCGTGTTACAAATATCTTACTGCTCGAAACATAAAAAAAAAAAATTTAAAGTTTTGAGTGGTCCGATATTAACGATATTGGGAAATGGCAAATTGAAGTTTAGGATAATCCGATATTTAGAACATTAGACTCACCGCTAATATACTCCAGCCTATCGGACATCCATAAACACCAAAAAAAGAAAATTCAACAAAAAAAGCAGGCTAATATTGCAAACATTGTGCATAGGTAAAATTGAAAAAAATAAGAAGAGTGCAGTGGTGGACCTTAGCGAAAAGACTCAAAAATATGAATCATCACTCAATATCCAGTTGTTTTTCAAGGTCCTTATATAAATTTTCCTTCTTTATACGATTAGTTACACTTGTGTATTTGCAGAATATTTTTGTCTATGTTGCCGTAGTTAATGCCAACATTTTGTAAGCAAAGAAGCCAAAGCCCTTAAAAAAATGGTTTTAACAAAACAAAGATTCCTCTTTTAAGCCCGATTATTATTATTATTGTTATTATTGTTCTTATTATTGTTTTTATTGTTGTTATTGTTATTATTATTATTATTATTATTATTATTGTTATTGGATAATTAAGTGGGGAAGGCATGCCTCTATCTCCGATAAAAACTTATTGCACCAAAAGAAAGAGTTATAAAGTGGCCATGAATGGAGTAAAACAATGTCCATGCTCTCAAGAATTTTTTTTTTTTTTTAAATGATGAAGTTGGAAACTTCAATGATACGATTCTTATATGGTGTTACCTAAGTGAAAATGGGTTCTAGCTTACTTAATTATGGGCATGGGCCGAAGTATTGTCGAGTCCTATGATGAGATCCTCGACTCCATTTCCACCAAAATGATAGGACCCAAATCTCGACCGACCTACTACTTTTTACTTACCTAAAAAGAAGTGAAATTGGGACTTTTTACTTACCCAAAAAAAAGGTGAAAGTGGGTTGACTTTGGTAGTGTGATTGATGCTGCTTTAATTCCTAACAGGACACTGTCATATACACTTGTACATGGATTTTGCAAAGAAGGATACATGGATGAAGGTGGTAACCATTTAAACATGATGGCAGAGAAGCTTATAATGGCAGAGAAGGGGGGTTGTTGATGTTCTAGAGAAAGCAGCTATGAGTATACATAATATAAACTTGAAAAAAGTGATTTTACTTATCCATGGTCCTAAATGAAAAGATTAAAGTTAATAGAGCTCCAGATATACTTGAAAAAGTGATTATATTTATCCATGATCTTAAATGAAAATATTAGAACTTGATTGAGCTCCCAGGAGCTATCTTCCCCGGTAAAAATAAAAAATGCTCCTCTCATATGGCAGGCTCCTTGAGTTGCAATCCCTAGGTTACTTGTGATTCGGTGCAGCATGGTAGGCCCGCTCCTGGAAAACTAGGGTTTAGGCCACCAAATGTGGCACGATGGCTAGGCCAGGATAGAGTCGCCGGGCCAGGCCTTTTGTAAGGATAGAGTTGGCCCGCTGCCCTGCTTGGATTGGGCCAGGGTTACTTTGGTTCGATCCGGGCTAGGCCGGGCTTGAGCTGGCCCCGGGATAGGTTAGGGCTAGCCCGGCCTGTTACTAGTCCTAAATGTGATATAGTATATAACGTTTTAAGTATGATTCTTCCCCTCTACTAGTGGAATTCTATACATAACCATAAAAAAAGTGATCTTTGGTGCCTTAATCCGACGAAATTTGGAAGCCATAAAATAATGAGAAATTTACGTACGAACTATATTAGGTCAATTACAAAATGAGATCACGTTTGTCTTAAATTACGTACAAACAAATTATTGGTCATTGTTTTTTTCCAAGTTAATCCCCTGTCCGATAAACTAAACACCGGACAAATTGGTTTTTTACGTTTAAACAAAAAACAGTTATCCAATGTTCGAGTTATCGGATTGCTCTTTAAGTTTTTAAATTTTGAATTTGCTTTCCGGTATTCAAAATACCGGACCGAAAATTTTTATTTTACAAAATTAAAACTTATGTTCGAAGTTCGAAATAACGGGCAGGTCTCTGGTAAGCCCACTCGCGTACAACTTAGGTAAAACCCCTCTTCAAAGTAGTTGGGGCGAAGGAAGATTGGCTGCGCACTGAAACTTGGTCGTCTGATACTTCTCTTTAATAGCATTGAGAGTGTAGCCATTACGATTAATTTGCGGATCATGTAATGCGAAAATCACGCTTTCAAATTCAATGACCTATGTCCAGTATAGTGCTCCAAAGTTGGATTCCATCGATGAATTGATGGATCAAGCACCCATCCGGCAAGGAATACAACATCTACAGCAATGAGAGAACGAAGAAACTTCAGAAAGCTATATTGCCATACAATCTATGAGCTGTCATTAATCTCTTCTTTTTTTTTGACGTATATGAGCCACCATTAATCTCTCCTCCTCTTCTTCACTAAAATCTCTGCGATTTATCCTTGGATTCAACTGACTAAACCAGCTCAATCCACAATATTTCCCTGCAAAAAAAAGAGGAACCCCAGCAACAAAAGCCATTAAAACACCCCTTTCTCTCACAAGATCTTCCCTGTTTTTCTCTATAGAATCTCTCCCTCCCTCTCTCTCACTAAAGAGGATAGCTGAAAACTGAATACCTGATCTTCCTCCTAGCTTCTCAGCGATCAAATTCCAGTTTGGGGAACAGGATGTAGAGAGAGAGAGGAGAGAGTGAGAGAAAAACAGAAACCTCAGCTTTCTCATGGCCTTCTTCTCCTGAGCCCTCGCGTTCCAAAACAAGCTTCTGCAGGACTTCTTCCCATACCCATTCACCCAGCTAATCCTCCGACTACCCCATTTAGAGAGAGAGAGAGAAAGGGGCCGCAAAAATCACATAACAAAACGAAACCTTTGTACTGTGTTCAGTTTACAGGAAATAGGGTACCTTGGATAAAAAAAGCGTGTCATGTCGTCGGTAACTTAGAACAATTGTGATCTCATTCTGTAATTTACTGATCCGTGTGTAAATTTTTTAAAATTAATATATTGATTTATGTACCTCTGTGGTGCATGTACACAAATTTCTTTTGTATTTGCACATATTTGGTTTAATTTATTTACGAGTAATGATCTTATGGGACCCTCCTCCATCTATACGTGTGTAGGATTTCAAATGATCACTAATAAAATTGGCATGGATATTTAAAAAAGTTATCGCATGGGTGTGGATGTAGAACTTGATTTTTCTATAGATCTGTACTAAATTTAATGATGATCAATTGAAGTCCTACACACATGGGTTCTATAGATCTATGCTAAATTTAATGATAATATTTTGAAATCCTACACACGTAGGTTTTATAGATCTGTGCTAAATTTAATGATGATCTTTGAAGTCCTACACACATGAGTGGGGGAGAGTCCTATAAGATCATTTCTTTTTATTTATTTTATGTTTTGTTAACCAAGGATTAATAAGGAGCTAGTATGCAATAGCCAATGAATGGTTTTTGCTAGAGACAAAGATGACAACGTGGTTGTTGGAGCAAGCTAAACTCCCAAACACAAATAATTGAATGGAACCCAAAGTCCTATCAATCATAACAAGTAGAGAAGACAACAGCAAAATGTTTCATTCTCACATAAGGCAGTATAAACAAAAACATTTCATATTGATAATAAAATGAAGAGGAAGACTCTTGTATTATCGCTTGTATATTATATTATAATACTATAATGATAAGGTAAAGAATTCTCATCCTAAGATCGAAGATAGGGTGGGAATGGGTCATGTGGCCGGCCCGGCCTGGTGATCCTGGCCCTAAAAAACTGGGGCTTAAGGTACAAAATGTTGCCTGAGGGCTGGGCTTAGGCCAAGGCAGACCTAGGCCGATCCTCAGGCGAAATAGGGCCAGGCTAAGGCCATGGCTGGCCCGGCAGCCCTAATCCAAGATGGGTCTAAAAGTGAAGTCCGTAAGACATATACTCAGTTGTGCAAAGACAAACCCACTTAGCAGTGAAGCAGGGTATAAAAGGAGAGCAGTGGTATGAGGATTTGTCATACAAAGCTAACAACTAGTGGTGTTATGGTAGATACCCAAGGTTGCTCTACTACTGATAATACATCTTGCCTTGGTGGTTGCTAGCAATTCAACTATGGCCATTCCAAGCTTCTCCATCAAGGACAATATCTTCTGTCTTTGCATCTTTGTGTTGGCACTGGTCGTTGCCCGGTCCGAAGCCGGAAGCATTGCCATCTACTGGGGCCAAAATGGCAACGAGGGCACCCTTGCGGAGACCTGCGCTACCGGAAACTATGGCTTTGTCAACATAGCCTTCCTTGCCACGTTCGGCAACGGACAAACTCCGCAGATCAACCTCGCTGGCCACTGCGACCCCTACTCCAATGGCTGCACTGGGCTCAGTGACGACATAAGGTCCTGTCAAAAGCAGGGTGTCAAGGTCCTACTCTCCATCGGTGGTGGTGCCGGGAGCTACTACCTCGCCTCCTCTGACGATGCGAAACAAGTCGCACGCTACCTCTGGAACAACTATCTTGGAGGACAGTCGTCGTCTCGTCCCCTGGGTGATGCAGTGCTTGATGGTATTGATTTCGACATCGAGGGGGGAACAAACCTACACTGGGACGAGCTAGCGAGGACGCTCTCAGGATTCAGTCGCCGAGGAAAGAAGGTGTACTTGAGCGCCGCTCCACAGTGTCCATTTCCCGACGCATGGGTCGGAGGAGCCCTCAAGACAGGACTCTTCGACTATGTCTGGGTGCAGTTTTACAACAATCCTCCATGCCAGTATACGTCGGGTGACCTTACAAACTTGGAGGATGCATGGAAGCAGTGGACGTCGTCCATCCCTGCGACAAAGATCTTCTTGGGATTGCCGGCAGCGCCTGAAGCTGCCGGTAGCGGCTTCGTTCCCGCGGATACCCTCACTTCCCAGGTGCTTCCTGCTATCAAGGGTTCAAAAAAGTATGGAGGGGTCATGTTGTGGTCCAAGTACTACGACGATCAGACTGGTTACAGCTCCTCCATCAAAAGCCATGTCTGATATCTTTAGGCAAAATTACATTGCATAACTACTTGTACAGTAGTAGTAAATAAATGTATATTTCTCTCTCAAAACCTTTATGTTATTTATGTGCTCTGTCATCTACACCTCAATTTGTTTTTGTGTATGTATTTTCCCTATCTTTTGTTATCTTGAATTGTATTTGTTTGTGTATATTCATGTTTATTACCTGCAACATTGCAATAAGTTTCCCAATCCATACATGCTCTTCTTTGACACCTCTTCATGTTTTTTTTTTTATCTTTTGGGGTTTGCAATCTTGGGTATGATCTCAAGTATTTTGATGAGCAAGACCAAGGGTTCTTTTTAAGTATTTTGATGAGCAAGACCAAAGGTTTTTATTTGCATTGTGAAGACAAACTTATGAATATATGTCTCTAAAAATATCTAATAATATTGTTTACAAATTATATTAATTATCATAAATATAATTCATGTTAATAAGCTACATGTACATTGAGAGAGCAAAAAATAATATTTTTCTTTTTTCTTTTACATTTTCCATTTTATTTTTTCCAAAATTTCAAGATTAATATTTACATATGCAAAAAAGATATTTAATAAATGAAAATGAAAAATTATAGACCAAAAAATGCGAAAGAAAAGGAGAAAAAAATTACAAATCATTAACCGAAAATACAAATTATATAGGTAGATAATATAATTTAATTTACACTATATCAGAAATTAGAATTATTTTATAATTAAAACTAACATTACTTCTAATTAAAATTGTAAAATAAAAATAGATTCTATTCTCTTTTTCTTTGTTTTTCTGTTTTTGTA